CAAATTTATTAATATTTTTCAGACTTAAACGATGCCTAATACGTCATCGTGCGGGATAATGAACACAAGCACATTTTTAATGCATGCACAGTAATTTGAATACATCTTATATCCGCAACAATACAACATCATTTTAAGCGTAACATAATTCCATCAGCAATTGGAATCATACATGCATTGGAATCCAGATAAACCGAATACCTGCGGTCCGCTCGGAGAAATGTGTTCGTAAGTAACGGGGATTTGTTATCCTAAACATATCACTGTAAGTATGGCGAGGAATGCACTCGGCCTCGTTATACCGCGGTATTCCTTTTATAAGGGGTATGTCACTCGTTTCTTGCTCCCGGCTGTAGCGGGTGTGCCCTCACCTTTGCTGGGATAAATCTTCTTGTGTATCTGGATTTTCCTAGCTTGATATGTTTAAATGAAATAAACGGCCACTCTTGTGTGCAAATTTATCCCGAACTGGAATTGTCATTATTGGGTATCCCAGCAAACAGAGCTCACCCAAAGCGAGACTCCACCAACAGCAATAACCGACTCAATAATACTATCTTAAGGAACATGGAGCATAAATCACTAAAGAACTACTCTGATTCAAAATGTTACAGAGAACCACAATATAATAAACTTTGACGACAATTGGTTGGTCTGGTTACGTAATATGGTGTCAAAGTGACGATTGCTTAAGGAGAAGGGTCGATGATGGCATAAACACTAGTGTGATTGGACTGAACGTGACTAATGTCTAGAGCTGAAGGTAAGATGGGATTGCTGGAAGGTTGCTGGTCGGAATAAAGGATTTCCGTATTTCGCACACAACATTTTTTCAAGGGATTTTAATGGTCACAATGTTTGCAAGGTGCTGTTATATCACAACAGCATTTAAATCTTTTACTCTTCTTAAGTCGTGGAGTTTTTAAAGTAACAAGTAATTCTCCATTGCACGGGATTACGTTCTGCTAAAAAGATATAGCATTTCGACTGTCTTAATATGAAGCAATTTTAGTTCTAAATTAAAAATTTTCCACCATAGCGATTATTTTTACGGTATATTTAGTTCGACTTTATTATGCTGTGTCATTAACGACTGCCAAGGGAGAATGAGTTAGCTCATTATTCACACTTTTCTTAAGACTTTACAATGCCTGTGCTTTAATAAACCAGCCCCACCCCTGACAATCGTCTCTACTCCCCCATTAACCTTTTTGTGACGTGTTCAGGTTTACAGGGATAAAAGTTTTAAGGAAGGCCAATATATATGTGCTATGTCATAACATGACATAGCAGAAACTAAGAAAGGATTAGACAGGCCCCCAATTCTCTCTTATAAAAAACTCGAGGGCTCAGAGGCCCGAATTAAACAATTGAAACAATCCATGCGACCTGGCGGTTTGCTTTAACCAAGAGCCGGATTTTCGGTGCCAGCGTGCAGTAACTGATTAGTCTGATGATCTTACGAGTCATTATCGGTTAAAATGTACAATAAAAAAGAAAACGTGGAGACAAAAGGTCAAGACTAAAGCAAAAATTGGGAAACGTGCGACGCCTTAGTAAACATGCAGGCAATTCGTGCAGTGCGGGTGGCTTTGATGTCATTAGGGATGACCTTCTTCTTTACTCTTGAAGTTCAGATTACTAAAATTTATTGTAAAAACACTATGAAAATATATAGACTGGGGCTACATTGGGAAGTATATGGTGCATAACAAAAGGACATATTAGAATTTTCGAAAAGAAAAATGAACCAGATCGTACTGAGAAAGATTGAATCAAATCACGCAAGCGTCTTTAGCAGGAATTTCAACTGGACATTTTCTCTTAGAATAACAGCGTGAACTTCAATTCATTCAAATCATGATGACACTGCTCCCACCCAAGGGTGGTGAAATATATTTGGTCGTTTAGACCAATTTCTTTTTATCAGAAAGAAAATGACTAAAAGCGTACTGTATAAAACAAATCCTGCGTTGAAAGCGATGGGTAGATGAAGTACGAACAAGGGAATAGTAGGTAGCTAGGCACGTTAAAGTCAACTTTTCGGGATGGAACCGCCACTTGTGCGATCTAATCTCGCCATTAGCTCTCAGCTTTGGATTGTGAACAATCCTTCAAGGATTTTTTGTCACTTTCAAAAGGGATGAATTCGAAGAACTCGAATGGTCTAGCATTTTCCCATGTCTAAATTGAAACTATTCAGTTTTGGAGAAACAACTTTCTTTAGTAGGCCTCCTACTTCTTTGTTGGTCTAAATCAGACATCACAAATATCAAACCCTACTTAAAAGTTTAAAAGCTTTGGAAAGTTTAATTCGTTAAAAGGATTGAACGCTTTAATCTTGTCTTAGCTTCCAACACTTACACACACAGAAACAAAGGAAAAAAAAACTGACACATGGAATCGTAGTGGTAATGCATTTCTTAAACAATCACTTTGTATGGCTATGGAATGGCAGCGATTGAATTTATTTTTACTTCTTCTTGATGATCAAGATTTT